GAGGATGCATGGTATGATTCTAATTCTTTTGAATTTGCTGAGACTTGTTTTATGGCCTAGTATGTGGTTAATCCTAGAGGAAGTTCCATGCACTGCTGAGAAGAATGTGTATTCTTTAAGTGTAGGATGAAAAGATCTGTAGATATCTGTTAGATCTATTTGGTCTATAGTGTCAATTAAATCTGTTGTTTCCTTGTTGATCTTCTGTCTGGCTGATCTGTGCATTGCTGAAAGTGGAGCATTGAAGTACCCCAATACTACTGTATTGTAGTCTAAGACTCCCTTTAAGTCCCTTAACATATCTTTTAAATAGATGGTTCCCTTTAGTTAGGTGCATATACATTTATAATAGTTACAACTTCCTTTTGAATTGATTCCCTAATCATTATATTTTGCCCTTCTTTGTCTCTCTTAACAGTTTTTGTGTTAAAGTTAATTTTGTCTGATATTAAGATGGCTACACCAGCTCTTTTTTGGTTTCTGTTGGCATGGAATATCATTTTCCAAACTTTCACTTTCAGTCTGCATGTACCTTCATTGGAAAGATGTGTTTCTTGTAAGCAGCAAATAGATGGGTTTTGTTTTTCAATCCATTCAGCCAGTCTGTGTCTTTTAACTGGAGAGTTGAGGTCATTTACGTTCAGTGTGACTATGATAAGTAGTGACTTTGCCTTGCCATTTTCCCAAAGGTATTTCTAATATATGCTTTGAACTTTCTGTGATCTTTTACTGGGAGATTTTCTTCCTTTACCTTCTTTCATATTGATGGCTGTGTTTCTGTGTGTAACACATCTTTAAGCATCTTTTACAGGGCTGGACGAGTGGTGACAAGTTCTTTCAATTTCTGTTTGCTATGAAAGATCTTTATTTCACCTTTATTCACAAATGAGAGCTTTGCAGGGTGTAATTATCTGGGATTGCAGTTTTTTTCTCTTAGTACTTGGGCTTTATCTTGCAATTCCCTCCTAGCCTGCAGGGTTTCTGAAGAGAAGTCTGCTGTGAGTCTAATTGGAGATCCTCTGAGAGTGATCTGATGTTTCTCTCTTGCACATTTTAGAATCTTGTCTTCATGTTTCAATGTGGTGAGTTTGATTACAATATGTCATGGTGAGAATCTTTTCTCGTCATGTTTATTGGGAGTTCTGTGTGCTTCCTGTACTTAGATGTCTCTTTCTTTCTCCAAACCTGGGAATTTTTCTGCTAGTATCTCACTAAAAAGGCCATATAATCCTTTCTCTCTCCCTGCCTTCAGGAAATTCCTAGAACCTGAATGTTGGGTTTTTCAATAGTATCCTGTAGAATCCCAACAGTATTTTTTAGATTTCTGATTTCCTCTTCTTCTCTGGTTTGACTGTATACTTTCCTGTGCTCTGTCTTCTAAGTCCAATATTCTCTCTTCTCCTTCACTGATTCTGTTTTTAAGGCTCTTAACTGCATTTTTTGTTTGTTCTATTGAATTTTTCATTTCATTTTGATTTCTCTTCACTATCTCAATTTCATGTTCTATTGAATTCCTCATTTCATTTTGATTCCTCCTTAAGATTTCATTTTCATTCATGTCCTGCATGGATTTCAGTAGTTCATGTGTTTGTTTTTCATTACTACTAAATATTCTTATCAATTTTTTTGAGTTTCATTTCTTTCATTTCTTCTATCTTGTCTTCATAATCTTGTATTGAAGGGTCATGTTCTTTTGGGAATGTCATGTTGTCTTCCTTACTTTTGTTTCCTCAGTTTTTTTTTTAACTTTTATTTAGTAAATATAAATTTCCAAAGTACAGTTTATGGATTACAATGCCCCCCCCCCCCCATAATTTCCCTCCCACTCGCACCCCTCCCATCTCCCACTCCCGCTCCCATTCCATTCACATCAAGATTCATTTTCAATTATCTTTATATAGAGATCGATTAGTATATATTAAGTAAATATTTCATCAGTTTGCACCCACACAGAACATAAAGTATAAAATACTGTTTGAGTACTAGTTATAGCATTAATTCACAGTGGACAACACATTAAGGACAGAGATCCTACATGTGGAGTTATTACACAGTGACTCATGTTGTTGAGTAAACAATTTGACACTCTTGTTTATGGTGTCTGTAATCTCCCTAGGCTCTAGTCATGAGTTGCCAAGGCTATGGAAACCTTTTGTGTTCGCCAACTTTGATCTTATTCAGACAAGGTCATAGTCAAAGTGGAAGTTCTCTCCTCCCTTCAGAGAAATGTACCTCCTTCTTTGATGGCCTGTTCTTTCCACTGGGATCTCACTTGCAGAGATCTTTCTTTTTTTTTTTTTTTTGCCACAGTGTCTTGGCTTTCCATGCCTGAGAAACTCTCATGGGCTTTTTAGCCAGATCTGAATGTCTTAAGGGTTGATTCTGAGGCCAGAGTGCTGTTTAGGACATCTGCCATTCTATGAGTCTGCTGTGTATCCCGCTTCCCATGTTGGATCATTCTCTCTCTTTTTTATTCTATCAGTTAGTATTAGCAGACACTAGTCTTGTTTGTGTGATCCCTTTGACTCTTAGACCTATCAGTGTTATCAATTGTGAACAGAAATTGAGCACTTGGACTAGTGAGATGGCATTGGTATCTGCCACCCTGATGGGATTGAATTGGAATCCCCTGGCACATTTGTAACTCTGTTGTATTTGTTGTTTGGCATTTTTTCCCACTGTGTTGGCTTTTCTCATTGTAATATGACTCTAGGTAAGTGGACTGTCTGCTTTCAGTGAATCTCTAGAGGCTTGTGGTGGGTGTGGCCAGAGAGCTCTGTTCACTTCTTCAGAGTTAAGGGTGTGCCTAAAGTGACACCAGGTTTGGCATAGTAAATTTTCTCTCTCTCTCTCTCTCTTTTTTTTTTTTTTTTTTTTTGGACAGGCAGAGTGGACAGTGAGAGACAGAGAGAAAGGTCTTCCTTTGCCATTGGTTCACCCTCGAATGGCCGCCGCATCCCGCTGATCTGAAGGCAGGAGCCAGGTGCTTCTCCTGGTCTCCATGGGGTGCAGGGCCCAAGCACTTGGACCATCCTCCACTGCACTCCCGGGCCACAGCAGAGAGCTGGCCTGGAAGAGGGGCAACCAGGACAGAATCCTGTGCCCCCCACCCCAGTGTGCACGGCGCCGGCCCCTCTTTGTTTTAATTAGAAGGGAAGTAATTCTGCTCAGCTGAGCTCTTCTTCTCAGTGGTGTTTAGTGCCTGAGCGCTAGCCTCAGTGGGTATAATATTAGTCTGCTCTGTCCCAAGGACCATACAAAGTGTCTGTGCAGTCCTCCATGTAAGCTCAGATTCCCCTGCAATGTCTCTCACTGGGTTCCCAGGGCTGCCTTAGCTTGTGATGTCTCCCACCGAGACTATTCAAGTCTCAGCCGCTCTGTGAGTTCTCCCATATACCCTCAGTTTATTTTTTTTCGCAGTCCCGGTTCAGAAGCTTCACACATTCACTAGGTTTCAGCCACCTGTTACTATTCCCCACCAGAGTCAGGTTTCTCTGCTCAGCTAATTGCTGGGTGCAGCCCCGAGCTGGCACAGCTGTTACCTATGTCCAAAATGGTGCCTGCTCTATTGGCTCATATGCCTATGTAAGGTGAGTGGAGAGAGAGAATTGTGTCCATACCACCCCTTTTATTTTTTCTCTCTTCTAGTTAGGCTGGTGTACTTTCCCCCACGTGGTTTCAAGCCTCATTCCCTCTAGGCTCTTCCTGCAGCTATTCTGCCAGTGTCTCAGGCCATTGCCGTCTCATCTCACCTCACTTTCCAGCACTGGTGTGGAAGCTCTCAGCAGCTAGAGTTCCAAGCCCTCCACGTAGGTATACCATGTCCCTGTAATTACAGAAGAGTTTCCTCTGCTGTTTTTTCCCTAACTCTTCCCTGAGACTACACTATCTCCACTTTTATTAAACTATCTTCTCCTGGACTATCAGTAAGCTCCCTCCTTAGTCTGCCATCTTGGAACCACCCCTTCCTGAGCTCATCTTAATATATACCCAGGAACTGAAGTAAGGAAGATGGGCTCATTTTTCCTATCCTAAGTCTGACTCTAATTTCTGCTTAGAGGTTCTCTCCTAACACAAATGTCAGAATCTGAGTAATTTCCAAATCACAGAATACAGTTGCTTATACCAAACCTCAGGTCTTTTTCTCCTCAACCTGACCTAGAAATAACAGAATCCACCCAAATGACATTGAGTCCTTCAAAAGGCTATGTAACAAGCAAATAAACAACAATCAAAACCCTCAAAGACTCATGCTATTTTTATCTACCCCAAGAGTTTAACACTTTTGGACTCTCATTTTCTAAATTTTCTCCTAGTCTAGTTACTGTTGGCCAGGGATCCAGAAAGGTGTGGGGGCCTGGCAAGGAGGAAGAGTGGGACTAAAAAATGTTATGATGAGTTAGGAAACCTTTCTGCAACACAACTATGATCCTCTACCATCAAGCTGTCTGAGATGAGGTGATGATAAAATTGGCCTATTTATTGTTCACCTACTAGTCAGTCTCTCTCTCTCTAACGACTGATTTATTTACTTAAGAGGCAGAGTTACAGAGAGAGGGAGCGACAGAGAGAGAGGTCTTCCATGAGCTGGGCTGATATGGAGCCAGGAAGTTCTTCTGGATCTCCCACACAGGTTCAGAGGTCCAAGCACTTGGACCATCTTCCAACTGCTTTCCTAGGCACATTAGTAGGGAGCTGGATCAGAAGTGGAACAGCCGGGACTCGAACTGGCACTCATACGGGATGCCAGTAGCGCAGGCAGATGCTTAAACTACTATGCCACAGTGCCAGCCTCTTCAGTCTTTCAATAGGAATAAAAACTGATGAGTATGAACTTTTAGGTGGAAATTTTCTTGGTTTTAGTTTTAAGACTTCTTTTGTAGTAAAGGTGAATGTTTGTAAAATGAAAGCGTTGTTGGTTAACAAAAACACACAAAGTGGCTCGCTGCCTGTAGTCCATCATTTGGATGCTTCATCTCACCTGTGTCTGTTCTTTTTAGATTCGCCAGCAGCAGAGGACTGAAAAGAAGGCAAGGCCCAGGAGGAGCCAAAGATCACACACCCGCAGGTCAAGCTCAAGAAGATCTGGCTATGCTTTTGCTCACCAAGAGGGCTATGGAAAGCTTATCACATCTGGAAAAAATATGCGAGTGCAAAGTCCACCCCCACCAACAGGGTTGGAAAAGACACTGTATAATAGCACTAGCAGAATTGAAGATTTATGTAAGAAAACCACAGACACAGTGAGTAGCTTAGGCCAGGACAGAACAGTGCAACTGTGAGTCAGGATGAATTTGAATCATGAAATTATCTCTTCCCTTCAGCTGGAGCTTCAATTCAGCTGGCCCAGAGTTTGGGATCAGAGGCGAGTGGCGAGGCAGATTGCTTCATTTAAATCTGTGGCAGACAGTGGCCAATGCTTGCCAAATAGCCCTGTGATTTCCAGGAAGCCAGGCCAGGTGATCTCTGCTAATGTGTGATTTGGTGGACAAAACCCTCACAGTACAAGCGCATTTTTTTTTTTTATTCAACCTTGATACCAATTTACCTGAACTTGAGAATCTTATTTATGGAGAAAAACTCATAAATCCACATAAACACTGAATGGACTCTCAGATGGAAAAAGGGTGCATTCCAAAGGCATACTCACATATCTGAACTGAAAAGCATGCTTGTCAACAGATGTACATGTTTATGTGAGAGAAGCCTTTCCCAAGACAGACTGTCAAGATCTGAAGTGTATACTATGGTGCTTTTGAACTAAATGGCATGTCATTGTAGTCCTGATAGCTACTCAGGACAAAGATCACTTTCATGCCTGAAGAAAAGTATGTTGGTATTCTTTGTTTTAATTTATTATTTTTTTTTACTAGAGACAAAGAAGACTATACATCTATACAGGGAGCTAGGCTGGTAATTGGTCATTTATTCAAGAAATTCTCAGAGTGACATGTAGAGATATATTCATGAAATGTCAAAGAGAATTTCTCTAGTAAATATTCTTAATACTTTACAATGACTTACATAGCAAACTCAATAGTAATTTGCTAAGTATCACCCAGAACCATTAATGGAATCAGCCAACCAGTGGAATTTCACACTTTAATGGTAGTGTTTCATATATTCATTGGGAAAATACTTTTCACATTTCTAATTTTAAAAGCTTCAGAATTGAAATCAAGTAAATTAATAAACTATCTCTTTGATAACTATTTAAATATGCAGGGATTGGTCTTTCAGATTTAGCTACTTTTGATACACAGTTGTCTTGTATATAATTTAAATGTGTAGAACTTCGTAGAGGAGGTTTGTTTTTTGAGATGTGCCAGCCCAAATGTTCAGTTCACAAGTGAGTCAGCAGGGTATTTGCTGTAAAAAGATCCAGGAAGATCTGGGTTTAAATCCCAGCTCTGTTACATGTTACCTCTATATACTTGCACAGATATTGTGCCTTCTCTGAGACTCTGTTTCTTCCTCTATAAAATGAGGATGTATTAACTACCTCCTGTGGTTGTTCGGTGTTTATCAAAGCACAGATTCTCCAAACATTGAAAATATAGTTTTCCTATAAATAAATAAGTTAAATTCTAATCAACCCAGCATCAGAATAACAGAGTCCTTTGAAGAGAATATGAAGAATGAGAATTTAAGTGATCAATGGCAAAGGCCTTAATGAAATGAGATTGCTAAGTCAGTTATAAAACTGGTAGTGTCCTATAGGGAAATAAAAGTATAACTGTAGAGGTATATTTCTCTTTCAGGAAGCAAAGTCAGTCATCATACTTTATCAGTTTTCCACAAATCAACTCTTAACTTGACAAAGTTGTTAATCTGATCCCTATTGAATTATTACTCGAAGTTACATTTCCCAGGATAGTCAGGGAACCTTTGATAAGTAATGGCCTAGTGTGATACTAATAAGTCACAATCTTTTTTTTTTTTTTGTCTTAACCTCTAAGTCTTGGATTTTTTGAATGCAATCAAATGATATAACATGTATACAAGAACCTAATATAGTGCTTCAACCATAAGAAATTCTTATAAAGATTTTCCCATGGAACTGGCACTGTGGTGTAGTTGGTAAAGCTGCTGCTGGCTGCAGTGCCAGCACCCCATATGGGCACGGTTCGAGATCTGGCTGCTCCTTTTCCCATCCAGCTCTCTGCTGTGGCTTGGGAAAACAATAGAAAATGGCCCAAGTCCTTGGGCCCCTGCACCTGCATGGGTGACTGGGAAGAAGCTCTTGGCTCCTGGCTTTGGATCAGCACAGCTCAAGCTGTTGCGGTCAACTGGGGAATGAACCAGCAGGTGGAAGACCTCATTCTCTCGCTACCTCTGCATCTCTGTAACTCTACCTTTCAAATAAATAAATAAAGAAATATTTTAAAAAATGATTTCCCCATTTTCCATACATGCCTACCTGCCTAGACTTACCCAGATGTTAATTTTCCATGTCACTAGTTTCACTGTGTTTGCTCACTTTTTGTGACGTTTTAAAAAATTTGAGCTGTTAGTAAATGTTTTCTACTACTGATGTCTGATGTTTTGCCTCTTCTTTATTGGGAATTCACCGGGGGGAATTTTTGTTACATTAGTGCATTGCATTTTTTTCTCCTCTCTTTTGTATGTCTAAGAAATATATATGTAATATTATTAGCTTTGGAGTCAAGTATAAAATGAACAAATTGGATACATGTGTAAGGGTCGGGAAAGATTAGAAATTGTTGAATTTTATAAATTCAATTAAAATTTTAGTATATGTGCTGCCAAAGTGAACATAATAAATTTGATTAAAATTAAATAAGGCTCTTTATAAACAAATAGTGTACATGATTATTGGGAAACATGTTATCAGCTAACTATGAGATCACCCAGTGCAAGATCATTCAATTACAAGTGCAAGAGATTGTTTTGAACCGAAGATGAAAAGTTTGAAGAGTGGCTGGTGGCAGTGGGACCAGGAGGTAATAAAATTTAAATTTTACCTAAAAGTTATCAGATTTAGAAAAATATTTTTTTCTAGATCCCAGACTTAAGTTGGAAACTTGTATTTTTCATGTCTTAATCTTCATTTTGAGGTATTGTAGGTAATCACAAATCATCTGCCTCCAGGTGTACGTCTCTATGGGGGAGAGACAGAGGTCTGAAGAAAGCGAGAGAGAGAAGGTGAGAAGGAAGGAATAGCAAGGTACAAAAGAGTTGCCTATTACACATTTCTTGAGGTGATGTGACTGCATTTGAGATTCAAATAACAGAACCTTCCTTACATTCTGTGTGAAATCAAAGTCTTACTGGAAGAGGGATAGGATCTCTGGCTTCTCATCACCCTATTGCTACTGATTTGTATGAGCTGGGCCATTTCAGCCAATGTCTCTGGACCTTAAAATCTCATCCATCAATGCAGGAATTGGATAAGATGGTCTCAGTGAACTTTTCTCTTGTGCCCATTCTGTGAGCTGTTGTTATTGTTGTAGGGATGGGGTAGAGGTGTGTGTGAGGGAGTTAGGAGAGAGAGGAGAGATTGAACTGGATGCTTTCTTGTGGTCAAAGCCTGGCTCTAGCACTGATTCTTATTTCTCTAAAACAACCCCTGGAATACTGCCCTCTCTGGCTGTCTCTTAGTTTATCACAAAGGTGTCAGGCTTGTGATCGGGCTTTGCCTGGGCCAAAGAACTATACCCAGTTTCTTGCTAAGAATTTATCAAGATATTTCTACACTTTCCTTGCCTCTGCACCACTTTAAATATCACAAATATGGAGATATAAAGGCAAGATGCTCACGCCCTGTTAAGAAGAGGGCCATTTAGTCCTAACTTGTCCCTAGGTTTAGAGAAGTTTCTTTGGGCCTCAGTTCCCCCAGGATTCAACTTGCAATAATAAAGCTTGAGTAGTTTTCTTCATAGTTATCTGGCATTTTGCAGTCCCTCTCTCTCTCTTATGCAACTTTTTTTTTTATTTGAATGGAAGACAGTGATAGAGATGATAGAGATGTTGATAGGTAGGTAGGGAGGTAGGTAGGTAGGATGATGGAGAGAGATCTACCACTCACTGGTTCACTCCCTAAATGCTTGCAACAGCTGAGGCTGGGTCAGGCCAAAGCTGAAAGCCTGGAACTCTGTCTTGGTCTCCTGTGTGGGAGGTACAGACTCAACTATTTGAGCCATCAGTTTTTGGCTCCCAGGGTGCACATTGGCAGGAAGCTGGAATCATAAATAGAGGTGAGACTCAAACCCAGGCACCATGATACGATATCATGTTAATCACTAGAACAAATACCCATCCCCAGACTGTATTTTTTTCCTCTAAAAACAGCCCTGTGGGGTAGTCAGAACTCCATGTTAAACCCACTGTTATGAAGAGAAAATGGAAGCATTGAGAGGTTAAATGCTTTGCCCAGCGTCACACAGAAAGCATAAGATACAGAACTGAGATCTGACACCAAATCCAGAGCTTCTTACACAACTCCTCATTGGATGCCTACCTCTCCTAATAGATGTGGACTTTCTCTACAGTCTGTCTTCCCTCTGAAACATTCATTTGGCTCCTGAAGTGTGCGTAGTTAGGGAAGAAGTGCAAGCAAATGTAAACCTGTTTTGAAATATGTTTCATGTGTTCTCTTTCTGTCTCAGTGCAAATACACAAAATTTCTCTTACTCCTTGCCTTTAGCATTTCATAAAGCTAGATAATTATGCAGTGCAGACACAGAAATAAACATGTTGGCAGATATTTAAAAAATATCATTAGGAGATCTAACAAGTCAGACTATATTTTTGATTTTGTGTTAAGAAATTGCATTACTCTTACTGTATACACAAATTCCTCAAAATTGATATGATCTAATAATGACTCATAATTTTAAAAAACACAAAGTTTAACAGTGGAAGAATCCAGAAACAATTATAACTTACAGATTCTGTGATGAGATTTTGCAGGTTAGGGGTCAGATAACCATGTGGGGGTCATAATTTACCGATTTTTACATTAACATCTGGTAATGAATGTCAGCATTTTGCTCTACTGCGTCACATTTCATTCCTTGGTAAGAAATCATAAACTTTTGCAATTCTCTAGCCAAAGCCTTTCACTGAACTGCCTGGAAGCCAGTACTAAATGAGCCATGTATTTCAAAATACTCATTGCAAAAGATTTGGAGGGGCTTGCTGGGCTAATCTGTAGGTCTGGAGCTACAACTTAACTAAGAAAGGGTCTTTTCTGTCTTCGAATTTCAAAACTTCCTGGCAGATCTCTTCCTGTAACTAGTACAAAATGCAAATCAGCTTGGAGCTTTGTACATGAACGTCCACAGATCAAGAAATAATGATTAGCTGGCTAGAAATCTCTGGCTATCTCAATTCAGTTTCCCGTAAGATTTACAGGGGCAAGTTTAAATTTTTAATAAGCCACAGCCCAGGGTTTGTATAGAAAATTCTGATCTGACCAAGAGGCATACAGAGATTGTTACCTTGATTTGGAAATAAATTCACAGTCAAGGACAAAACTATCTGTTTCACCATTGTCACAAATGTTTCTAATATTCCCTGACTTCTTCTAGGAAAATGTGAAGGATTAGGATGTTTCTTTGATGGTTGATTATTTTACTTCTACTCTCCTTTCTGACTGTCTCCACAGAGTGCAACTTTATATACATACAAAAGTGTATATATGCCAAAAACTTCATGAAAATGCATAGTATGTAAAAGCTATGATGGATATCAACCTTGTTTACAGCAACATATATTTATCTTTTAAAGCAATTTTTCTATTAAAATTTTTAAGTCTCATATAGGTACAAAGTAATGTATAAAGTTTGGACAGAAATTTTACTGACTCCAGAGCATCTGTAGACAGTGTTGAATGAAATTCCTGTTACTGACTTTTTGACCAGAAAAAATATTCACCATGACACATTGTAGTCAAACTTTCCACAGCAAAGCATAAAGAAAAGATTCTTAAACATGCACAAGAGAAAGGCCAGATTACCTTCAGAGGATCTCCAATTAGACTCATAGCTCACTTCTTATCAGAAACCCTACAGGCTAGAAGACAATGGCAAGATATAGTACAAATCTTAGAAAAAAACCAGAATACTGTACCCTCAAAGCTCTCATTTATGAATGAATGTGAAATGAAGACCATCCATAACAAACAAATTGAAAGAATTTGTCACCATGTGTCCAGCCTTAAAAAAGATGCTAAAGGATGTGCTACACACAGAAACAGAAAGAAATCCACCATGATGAAAGAATGTGAAGACAGAAAATCCTCCAGTAAAAGCACCAAAGAAATCTAAACAAAGAATATTGATGGAAAAATGGCAGGGCCAAGTAATTACTTATCAATAATTACCTTGAATGGGAATGGACTCAACTCTCCAGTTAAAAGACACAAACTGACCAAATGGATTAAAAAATAAGACCCATCTATTTATTGCCTACAAGAAACACATCTCACCAGCTGTGGGGAGCAACTCAGACTAGACTGTTACTGGAATTAAGACTTATGCATCTGCTCTCCCACAATATGGCGCTGGGAGAGGAGGAAACAGCTTCTACACAGCTGCCTCCAGTTCAACCAATAAACAGCAGGACCTGCTCCTGATTGGAGGAGAGCAGCGTACTCGGCGTGTGGGTAGCAGAGTTGGGATTGGTGGAAGAGGACTATAAAGGAGGAGAGAGACAACATGCACCAGGAACATCTAAGAGGAACACCTGAGCAGCCCCCGAGAGAGCCGGCCGGCGGTGTGCCGCTCCCCCGCAGAAGTGGGGAAAGTGGCAGGGGAACCGCCCTTCCACGGAGGTGGAAGGGTCGGTAGCCAACCCGAGAAGAACCAGCAGCAAACCTGGGGAGGGCCGAGCAGACAAAAGAACAACGCAGGGTCCTGTGACATTCCTCCACGAAGAGGGGGAGCGACATAATGGTGCCGTGACTCGGATATGAAGCCTAGGCAGGGTTTAGTGTCGTTTCTCCATGAAGAGGGGGAGCAACAACCAACAAAGATGTATGCACACTGAAAGAGAAAGGATGGAAAAAGATATTCCATGCCAACTGAAACCAAAAAAGAGCTGGTATAGCCATCCTCATATCAGATAAAATAGACTTTAACATAAAAACTGTTAGAAGAGACAAAGAACACTATGTAGTGATTATGGGATCAATAGAACAGGAAGATGTGACTATAATAATATAATATGTGACTATAATAATATAATATATGCCTGGTGATTTAAAAGAAATTTTAAGCGATCTAAAGGGAGATGGACTCAAATAAAAACAGTAATGGAGGACTTCACCCCATTTTCATCAATGAATATATCAAACAGAAAATCAATAAAGAAACAACAGAGGTAATCAACACTATGGACCAAATGGATCTGATATCTACAGAACTTTTCATCCCACAGTTGCAGAATCCACATTCTTCTCAGCAGTGAGCAGAACTTTCTCCAGTACAGATCATATACTAGGCCATAAAGTAAGTCCCAGAAAATTAAAAAAAATCAAAATGATTCCATACACCTTCTCTGATCACAATGGATTGAAGCTCAAAATCAACAACTCAAGAATCTCAAGAACATATGTAAACACATGGAGACTGAACAACATGCTCCTGAATGAACAGTGGGTTATAAAAAAACCAAAAGAGAAATAAAAAAAATTCAAATTCAATATCAAAACTTACGGGATACAGCAAAAGCACAGTTAAGATGGAAATTTAAAGCAATTAGTGCCTACATCCAGAAACTAGAAAGTCACCAAATAAATGAGCTATCAGTGCATCTCAAGGGCCTAGAAAATAAACAGCAAACAAAACCACAAATTAGGAGAAAATAATTAAAATTAAGAAAGAAAACTTAAACCAAAAAAAAAAAATACAAAAGATCGATGAAATGAAGAGCTGGTTTTTTGAAAAAATAAGCAAAATTGAAAAACCATTGGCTCAACTAACCAGAAAAAGAGGGAGAAGACCCAAATCAACAAACAGATATAACAACAGATATTACAAAAATAAAAAGAATCATCAGGAATTTTGACAAAGAGCTCTATGCCAACAAATTATTATAGTCAAAGCAAATTATTATAAACCCACAGGAAGCATCCTACTGAATGGGGAAAAATTAGAGGCACTACCATTAAGATTTGGAACCATACAAAGATGCCAATTCTTACCATTGCTATTTAATATAGTCCTAGAAGTTTTAGCCAGAGCCATCATGCAAGAAAAAAAAATTAGAGAGATATGAATAGAGAAGGAAGAAGTCAAACAATCCCCATTTGCTAGTGACATGATTCTATAAATAAGGAACTCAAAAGACACCACAAAGAGACTATTGAAACTCAGAAAAGAGTTTGGTAAAGTAGCAGGATATAAAATCAACACACAAAAATCAATAGCCTTCATATATACAGAAAATACCATGGCTGAGAAAAACCTTCTAAGATTAATCCTATTCACAATAGCTACAAAAAATTTAAATACCTTGAAATAAATTTAACCAAGAATGTAAAAGATTTTTACAATGAAAATTATAAAACATTAAAGACCTAAATAGAAGAAGATACCAAAAAAAGGAAAAATCATCCATGTTCATGGATTGGAAGAAAGAACATCACCAAAATGTCTATACTCCAAAAGCAATTTACAGATTCAATGCGATACCAATCTCTCCAATGAGAATTACAAAACTTTAAAGAAAGAAATAGAAGAATATACAAAAAATGGAAAAATCTTCCATGTTCATGGATTGGAAGAATCAATATCATCAAAATGTCCATACATCCAAAAGCAATTTACAGATTCAATGTGATACCAATCAAAATATCAAGGACATTCTTCTCAGATATAGAAAAAGTGATGCTAAAATTCAAATAGAAACACAGGAGATGCCAAATAGCTAAAGCAATCTTACACGACAAAATCAAAGCCAGAGGCATCACAATATCAGATTTCAAGGATACTACAGGGCAGTTATAATCAAAACAGTATGGTACCGGTGCAAAAACAAATGGATAGACCAATGGAATAGAATAGAAACACCCAAAATCAATCCAAGCATTTACAACCAACTTATATTTGACTAAGGAGCTAAAACCAATCCCTGGAACAAGGACAGTCTCTTTAACAAATGGTGCTGGGAAAACTGGATTTCCACATGCAAAAGCATGAAGCAAGACCCCTACCTTACACCTTTTACACAAAAATCCACTCAATATGGATTAAAGACCTAAATATACAATCTGATACCATCAAATTATTAGAGAATATTGGGGAAACCCTAGAAGACATTGGCACAAAGAATTCTTGGAAATGACCCCAAAGGCTCCAGGAATCAAAGCAAAAATTAACAATGGGATTACAACGAATTGAACAGCTTCTGTACTGCAGAAGAAAACACTGAGGAAAGTGAAGCTGCAAACAACAGAATGGGAGAAAGTATTTGCAAACTATACAACTGATAAAGGATTAATAACCAGGATATATAAAGAGATCAAGAAACTCTACAACAACAAAACAAACAACCCAGTTAAGAAATAGGAAATGAACTTAAACATTTTTCAAAAGAGGTAATCCAAATGGTCAACAGACACATGAAAAAATGCTCAGGTTCACTAGCTGTCAGGGAAACGCAAATCAAAACTATAATGAGGTTTCACTTTATCCCAGTTTAATGGCTTTCTTAAAGAAATCAATAAACAACAAATTCTGGCACAGATGTGGGGAAAAAGGCACCCTAGTCCACTGTTTTTGGGAATATAAACTGGTAAACCACTATGAAAGACAGTATGCAGGTATCTCAGAAATCTGAATATAGACCTACCACATGACCCAGCCATCCCACTCCTGGGAATTTACCTAAGGGAAATGAAATCAGCATTTGAAAGAGTTATCTGCACCCCCAGGTTTATTGCAGCTTAATACACAATAGCTAATACATGGAATCAATACCAATGTCCATCAACTGAAGATTGGATAAAGAAATTTGGGAAATGTACACCATTAAATACTACACAGTGGTGAAAAAAAAAATGAAATCCAGTCATTACATAGCCTAGGCAGCTCATGTCAAGAGCCTTGGGTGATCACAGACATCATACATAAGAGTGTTAATAGTTAAATTAACAACAGGTGTCACTTTGCTAACTTCCCATGCAGGACTTCTGTCCTCAAAGAGTTTATTATAATTATGTCTAATCTATGTATTATAATTATGCTCACAAAAGATGCATCATTCCTGGGTGCTTCTTTAAAGTTAATTAAGTTTTTTTTTTTAATTTTTTTTAAACTTTTATTTAATGAATATAAATTTCTAAAGTACAGCTTATGGATTACAATGGCTTCCCCCCCATAACGTCCCTCCCACCCGCAACCCTCCCCTTTCCCACTCCCTCTCCC